AAATACGTTCCAAATATCGCAGTGTACGAGACGATATTTCCGTGCGATCTTGGCTTCATGACTACACACAATACTATGGATTTCGGTAACCCCTAGTTATCTATTTCCGATAAGATAAATGCTTGTACATGGTTAACTTAATTGCAATGCTATTTAAGTAATATGCAAATTAGCTAATATGCAAATTAGCATATATGATGTCATAAATAGTTGGACCAATCCACATTTTGGCACCAACTTTACTTCTATATCTTCATATGTATTGAAAATATAGATCTTTTAATAATTTCATAATATTTTCTGGTTGCCATAACAACATGTCAATTTTCACCACTTTTAGGGCATTTTCAGCCCTGTAAACAGGCATTTTTGAAAATGTCAGATAATTTTGCGTAAGAAAAGTCTGTTTCCACAATGTTTGACGTGGGTGCAGCTTAAACCATTTTTGAAAGCCTTTTGAGAAGTAGCTTCCAGACTAATATACATGTAGTTCGTGTTATGTAAGAGGTAGCAATGACATGACGCGAAAACCGATGCGTCAACAGTAAAGCACGCAGCATTCTCATGTTTTTAACTATGCTGTCTAAAATTTTCTGAATTTTTTTGTGATTGGTGTTGATTTCACACTTCTGTGATCTTTTCTTGCAACTTGATCTGCGTAATAAGTGGACTGTCAATATTTTGCGTCCACGTATTCTTTAATGTGATGTCGTAATTATGACAATCGCGATAACTCGAGTCGACATAGACATAGCGATCGTTGAGAGTTCTACGGCAATATTAGTCGGCACTTCAACCGACTTCATCGAGTACAATACAATTGACTGTGAATGTACAGTACATGGTTGATCGCGGCGACGAGGCGCGTCAGAAAGGATATATTTTGTATCTAATTCAACCCTGTACGATAAACTTATAACGATAATATGTGGTCTATGTGGTCCACTCATCCTCGAGAAACAAATACCTGAGTAGCAATTTAGTCAAAAACGAGAAAATTGAATAAGAAATGCGTCTTACATACATCAACGGCAATGTACGCTGACCAGCAAGTTCCCCTTCATACGTCACAAAAGGTATTTGAGTACTAGTATGCAAATGAGGAGTTAATGAAGAGCCTCGTTTTAAAATACATTAAAATAACATTTGAAACTTACATTTGAAACCCATTTTTTCACTTTAATTGAAAGATTATTTTATACTTAATAACGTAAAAAATACTGATATTGATGCACCAATAAATGATTTTGGCCAAAAAATAGCAGGCATTTCACAGGCACTTTAATGTTATTATATGCGTATATTTTAGCCATTCAAACATATAAAAATCACACAGGAATTAAACATACCAATGATACAGATTCTTCCCGTATCTGACAAATACTAGACTAATTTTTGAACTAAACACAATTCTAATGGAGAAATCAATAGTATAATACTAAGGCGGTTATCTTGGAGTTATGCAAATAAGGAATGTTAAAATATGATCACATGATTCGCTCAAGAGAAATTCTAGTACCTTTTAACAAGAATGTCGCTTTTTAAATCACAAACAAATATTAATTGGAGGTGTTGGTATGCCGTGTTATAGTATCGTGATGACCATTTCGGATTTATGCAAAATTAAAAAAAAATACCCAAGAATGACGTCATGTCACCATACCAATTCATCAAGTCTATCGTCCCAGGAAACAAAATGGATCAAAATATTTTGTATTGACTCCAAATACAGGTCCAGCTCAAAAAACCCATTTGCCTGCCGAGCGATATATGTCATTGAATAAATTAGACGACCACCGAAGGTGACGTAATTCAACGTCTGATGAGATGGATATAACGTCGCTATAATCAGGAAATAGTTTTTTGTATATGATGTTCAGACATCATTCATTCAGTTAGCAACTGAATAGCAACTGAATCAGCAACTGAATAATTGAAATGTTCTAAACTGTTTGAATATATTGTATTAAATATATTCAATAGCTCCCATATCAATTCAAGTAAATAGAGCGAGGTTAGAGGTTGGTTTGGGTCATACCGTCCTGTAATGGAATGAAGAGCGACTCGTCTGTAATGGAATGACAATATCGCTTGGCCAATTAAATAATTGAAGTGTTCAAAACTGTTTGAATATATTGTATTAAATATATTTAATAGCTCCCATATCAATTCAAGTAAATAGAGCGACGTCAGAGGGTGGTTTGGGTCATTCCACCCTGTAATGGAATGAAGAGCGACTCGTCTGTAATGGAATGACACGATCGCTTGGCCAATTAAATAATTGAAATGTTCAAAACTGTTTGAATATATTGTATTAATTATATTTAATAGCTCCCATATCAATTCAAGTGAATAGAGCGACGTAAGAAGGTGGTTTGGGTCATACCGTCCTGTAATGGAATGAAGAGCGACTCGTCTCCAATGGAATGAAAACAAAAACCGCTAGGCCAATTAAATATTGGAAATGTTCAAACGATAGCAAGGTATTGTATTTTATATATTTTATAGCTTTCATGTCAAAGACATGAAATACATAGACGTCAGTAATCGGTTAATGGCATGACATGGGCGCGTTTCACTCCGCCGCTAACAGTGTGAGTGCGTATGGTGCCAGGAAAGATTGTGTAAATGAACAGTGTATCGATCAAGGCTGTCGCTTTTACAAAAACGGCTTCGAACGAGCAAACTCTTTCGTAACGGTTCGTAAATTCGCTAAACCTAACGGTATTTTCCG